GGAGAGGGACATCATGTTTGGCAGAGTGGAGGGGCGGCAAAGGAGAGGAAGACCTTTGATGAGATGGATCGATTCTGTGACTGGAGAGGTGGGGAAAAGTGCGTTTGAGATGGCTAGGTTGGCACAGGATAGAAGAGTGTATTGAGCTCTTGTACATAGGGTCGCTATGAGTCGCAAGCAACTCGATGGCACATAACAACAACAACATTCATTTATTCATTCAACAAATATTTATTGAGTGTCTGATATACACTTGTTGTTGTTGTGAACTGTCAAGTCAGAACCAATCAATAGCTGAGCCTCAGACAGGTTTTCAGAGGCAGTTAACGGCAGTAGAGGAGACTGCACATCCTGCTCCTGCAGAGCAGCTAAAGGATTCGAACCGAGTGCCTTTGGGATGGCAATGCAGCTTCTTGCCACTAGGCCACCAGAGCTCTAATATTCACTAGATTATCAATATTCTTGGTGATCTTGATAATTTCATGTCTTCATATTACCATAATTAAGTTTTCCTCAGGATGGTAAGTATATGATTTTTTTATTTAACTATATGTCTTCTATTTGTTTTTTTCCCTTCTCACTTTACAACTATGTGGGTACTCTTCACAAGTAGTAGTGGAAAACACTTCTTGAAAAGTCAGGGACTTTAGTTCTTTGCCTATTTCTGCCATCCTCTTCCTGAGAATCTTTGCAAAAATGATCTCCTATTTTTGTTATTTAATAATTGCTGTGCTTTGAAGGTCATAAAACACAGCAAAGCCTAATTGAAAACATGTAGAAATTAATTAGCTGACCTCTCCCAAGGGTTGAGTACTCCCTTAAGAATAAAGCTTCACAAATACAAGTCTGTTAATTGCTGATATTATCATTTCATGTGGAAATAACTTAAGAATACAATCCAGGTGCTTCTAAATTGAAGTTGAAAGAAATCGTATCTTTATGTGAGAATCCTATGTCAGAAATATAATCTGAATTTGTCTTGTTGTTATTGTTGTGCACCACCAAATCAGAACCAACCTACAGCTGACTCTCCAGCGGGTTTTCAGAGGCTTAAATTACACAGGAAGAGACTGCCCATCCTCCCACAGGTATATAATCTCAAATTAGTTGGCAAGCTCCAAACTTGTTCAATAAAGAGCTTTTTCTCTTGATTGTTATTTTGGCTGCTGTGGGTAAGAACCACAATGCATCTGCCTCTTCCCAGTATTAGCTTCATTATACTGGGCTCAAGGTGGAGTCATTTATGCTGTCTCATGGCATGCCAATTGAAATATTCAACAAACAGACAATGGCCTGGATGTGCTCACTAAGTTGTGCCAAGAAATCCGGAGGAGAGCCAGCTGGCCGACTGACTGGAAAAGATGGATATCTGTTCCC